AATGCACTATGTCAGACGCTTGCAAAGATTCATATTCCCATACCTTGGAAAAATTTCATGGCTGGATTGCTAGCTCCGCTTTTAAGGTAAACAAATTTAACCAAGTTTCAAGTGGTATTACTCTCTTTCAAACGAAAGATAGTGAGAAGCTCTTCAATGGATGGAGAGAGTTAATGTTTTCACAATAAATTATCAAAACAAAACAGAATAGCTCCATGGAATAATAATCTCATAGCAGCATAAATGGTTTAGATGCTATTTATTTAAACTTCCTTCCAGACAGAACTTTATGCTCTGAATTGACTTTTTGCTCACAGGTTGCTATGAAGCTTGCTCCAGAAAGGAAGAAATTTATGGATGTCATCGGCGGGACTGGTGATATTAACAATGACATAAACAACTTCTGCACAACATTTTCACCATTTCTTGAGGAGAACCATAAGTATTTGGTAAGATTTCTCAACTTTCAAGTTGTTTGAAGCATCTTTGCTTCTCGATCTATGTGTGCATTCAATTGAATGTTGTTTAGTCTGTTTTAGCACACCATAAGCTAGCTTCCGCGCTTTGAAATAAGCTATATTTTGGTTGCAGAGACGTATTTTATAAGATTTTCTTAGCCTTTTGCCCAAAAAGATTGGAGGGAAGGGATGGGAGGAAAATGGTTGACGATAAAAAGTTGTTTATATATGTTCAATGGAGCGAGGAGAAATTACTGTTATAAAAAATATATAGAATTTTTCTTCTTCTTATATTTGTTATAGTTTTTTGTTTTTATAATATACTACATAATGCGAAGTAATGTATACGTATAACAATAATAATAATATAGGGCAATTTTGATAAAAAAGGTGAAATGAAAATTAACAATAAATAAACTCTTCTGAAATACACCAAATTGGTAAATGTGAGATATGTCGAGTTTGGAAGAGTCTAGCGTCTCCACTTTCCTTTCTTAACCTTCCCTCGAACTAACCCAATGACACAACATTCTTCTGCTTTCCTCCCATTCCTTCCCACCAAACAAGGGTTTGATATCTTTTCAAATAAATTCCACCAGGTTACAACAAAGGCACCGACTCATTTAATTCTGGTTTTTCGGTTTTAATTTGAATTTTAACTTTTGGAACATATATTTTGTGCCCTTTCGTATCATAAAAGCTATCTTACACCCAAAAACATAAGTATTGAGATCATATAGCTTTTAAACTTAAGAAAAACAACTTCAAAGTATAAATAATCCAACTATCTCATGTACTTGAAAATTACATTCACCAAGAATTTGAAAACAAATTTTACTAGCTTTTTCGATTTCTTTGTTGCAACCAAGGCAACCCATTTAATTCTGGTTTTTCGTTTATAATTTGATTTTTAACTTTAAAAACATACGGAGTATTCTGGTTTGTATATTGGAAGTGATTTTTGAAGTGGTGCGCCGTATCGCTTTGGATCATTATTAGTGCTAATTCTTGGTGATAGTTGGTATTGTTTAGTTATTTCTCCAGCTATAAGTGAATCTCTAAAAGTTATCCGCTCTTAGTTACGTTATTATCAGTTTGTTCAACCGTAAGTCCATAACCTTGGTTTAACATCAAATGGTTATTTACATAATTTCACTCTTATGCACAGGCCAGTGTTGGAATGGATGGACTTAAAGCCTGAAAAGAGAGAAGCAATATTACCATGTGCGTTCTTGTTTTTACTGATTCGCGAAGACCTATTAATGTATAATGATCGGTCATCTCAAAATGTTCCTCTCATTGCGTTCCTGTTTTTACTAATATACATATACACACAAAATTTTCAAGGGATATATTATATTATATTATATTGTGCGACTGAATACCTGATATACCTTGCTATAACTATATGAGCCTCATCTGTTTTATTTCCTTCATTTGGGGAGAATTTTATGTATAAATGTATTTCTTTCAAGGTTCTTCTACATGTTGGTTCCTTAGATATGTGACAACTGACAATCTATCAAGAACTCTTTATTCTTGAAAAAACAGCTGAAACGAAGATGCATATCCATAGATACTCGGAGTGTTTTTCCATTTGGTTTGTTTAAAAATTGAGGCATTTTGATAAAGAGTAAAATGCCTAAATGGTCCCTAAACTATCAGCATTATATCATTTTGGTCCTTAAACTATTAAATTTATCATTTTAGTCCTTAATCTATTTGATCCATATTAATCAAGTCCTTCCGTCCGTTGATTCTTTCCGTTTAAATTGACGGTAGAGCAAATGTGATATCCTAATTTTACACAATACGGAACTACACAAATATTAGTAATTTTTTAGTAGCTAATCTAGTTTCAGAATATTACATCATTATATCTTTATTTTCATTAGGGATGGACTTGGGCCGGGCCAACCGGCCCGGAACCGGACCGGCCCGCTACTGTGCGGGCCCGGACCGGCCCGGTCACCCGGTTCTTGACCGGTTCGGGCCACCCGGCCCGGTGGTATAGCGGTCCGGGCCCGGGCCTCCATTTTAGTGAACCGGCCGGGCCGGGTCCGGTTCGGGCCTCCAACGACCAAATTTTTTTAATTTTTTTTTTTTTTTTTTTTTAAATTGGAAGAGGCTCCTCCTAGCCGTTGGGAAGGCTCCCAAACGGCTCTATAGCCGTTGGGAGCATAGGAGGGGGGTCTGGGGGGTTAGGGGGTGGGGTGGGGGGTCGGGTGGGGGGGTGGGGGTGGGGTAGAAAAAAAAAAACTATTTAAACTCCTATTTTCTCTACATTTTTTACATCTCTTCTTCTACAACTCTTCCTACTCTCTAATTCTCTACTCTAAATCTCTCATATTCAATCATCTTCATTCTTCATCTTCTCCAAATTCTTTCTACATATATATAATTTATATAATTATTATATCTACTTATATATTAATTATCTATTTAAAAATATATACTTATACACATTCATATTATAATTCTTTACACATTATATATACTATATAAGTATATATACTATACACATTCATATTCACTTGATATTTAGTTATTATCCATACTATTGTTGTTTACTTATATTTACATATTACATTTAGTTAATATATACTTATATATATATATATATATATATATATTAAAGTATTAAGTATAAGTGTATTACTCATCTTATAGTAATATACTTATATATTATATACTATAAACATTATATTATATATTACTTATAATATATTTACACATTATATATACTATATATACTTATACACATTCATATTTATTTGATATTTAGTTTTTATACATACTATTGTTATTTACTTATATTTACATATTACATTTAGTTAATATATACTTATATATATATATATATTAAAGTATTAAGTATAAGTGTATTACTCATCTTATAGTAATATACTTATATATTATATACTATAAACATTATATTATATATTACTTATAATAGTAGTTAATTGTTAGACTTCTAATTTATCTATTAAATTAGTTAATTGTTACATTTCTCTACATTTCTCTACATTTCTCTTTAAAGAAAAAAATAGTTAAAGTAGTATATTTTTACATTTGTCATATTTCAATTAGTTAAAGTACTTAATTGTTTCATTTGTCATATTAAAATTAGTTATTTCATACATTGCTCATTAAAGTAAAAAAAAAACTAGTTAAGTTTTACATTTGTCATAATAATATTAGTTAAACTACTTAATTGGTACATTTTTCATATTAATATTAGTTACTTGCTACATTTCTCATTAAAGTAAAAAAAGTAGTACATTTTTACATTTGTCATATTAATATTAGTTAAAGTATACATTTCTCATTAAGGTAAAAATAACTAGTAAATTTTTACATTTGTCATTTTAAAAACTACCTAAAGTAGTTAATTGTTAAATTTGTCATATTAATATTAGTTAAACTACCTAATTGTTACATTTCTCATATTAATATTAGTTAATTTGTACATTGCTCATTAAAGTAAAAAAAAAACTAGTTAATTTTTACATTTCTCATATTTATATTAGTCAAACTAGTTAATATTTAGTTAATTGATACATTTCTCATTAAAGTATTAATTAGAAGTAGTTCGATTTGTATACTCATATTTTAGTTCGAATTCGCAATAGTTTTCTTAGTCACATTTTATTATTACTATTGTACTCATATAAAATATTTGATATCATTTAATATTTGTTCAATTTTAAAGATGGAACGTGGTAGACATTCTGTAGATGTGGGTAATCTCCAACGCAACCGCAAGAGGGAGATTGCGTCGACTCGTCCTAATTCACGCAAAGGCAAAGGTAAAGCGCGGGCCGAGTCTTCTTTTCAAAGTCGAGATGATTTTGAAACGGATTACCAACGGAGAGATGATATGATGATGTCCGACGAGCATCTACAAAACCTATTGTCCCAAAACGATCCACGCTTTGCACAAGAACAACCCATCCCGACAACCATTGATGAAGAGGAGCTCGAGGATGACGATGCGGAGGAGGACGCGGGGGGCGACGGGACTCACGGCACCCCGGATGATGAGCAAGACTTGGAGGACGAGGGCGGTTCAACCCAAACTGGTAAGAAATCTAAATCTCCTATTATTGAAAACAATTTTACAAAAAGGAAAGACAAAAATACCGAAAAATGGTACGCAAGTTGCAATCATTGCGGCAAAGAGTATAGCTTGGGAACTTCTGGCGGATACGGGAGTCTCACAAGGCATCTTAAGTCCGCCCATCTTGTGGAGTATGCGAAAATAGACAAGGGCAAGGGGAAGCAAACACAAATATCGAGGTTTGCAAATTCTCAACCCTTTGGTAATTTCTCCTATGATGATCAAAAACATTTGACTGGTATGTCTCATTTAATTGTTGAAGAAAATTTACCCTATATTTTTTCCGAAAGTCTTGCTTTAAGAGATTATGCTCAAGGCACTTTAAATCCTCAATTTAGAAATTATAGTCGCAAAACGATTAAAAAAGAAGTTATAAGGCAATATAACTTCGAAAAAGAAAATTTACAAACATTTTTCGCAAACTTTAATGGACGTGTTAGTATTTGTAGCGATATATGGGAGGATACTTATCATCATTTATATTATTTGGGTCTTACTGCACATTATATTGATGATGATTGGAATATGCATAAACGTGTTCTTGCATTTCGTGAATTCAATGATCGTCATACTGCTGATAATATTTATATTCTCATTGAGCGTATTTTAATTGAGTATAATTTGCTTGATAAGGTGTTTGCTGTAGGTTTTGATAATGCTAGTAATAATACTGCTGCTATACCTAGATTGCGTGAATTGTGTGGTGCTTCTACATTGATGGGTAGGTTTTTTCATCAACGTTGTGCATGTCATATTCTAAATTTGTGTGTACAAGATGGATTAGCGGCATTAGGAAATGCTTTGGAGGTAGTGAAGGGGGGAATTAAATTGATTTGGGCTAACACTCCACTAAAAATGCAATGGCGACAATATTTGAAGGAAAGACGTGTCAATTATTGTGTTTTTCCTAAAGATTTGTCTATTCGTTGGAATAGTACTTATAACTTAATTCAAGTACTTATTAGATATAAAGAACATTTTCCTGCTTTTTAAGACAAACTTGTAACTATATTATAAACCCGGCTGACATCGACACTTGTGAAAAAATTGTTAATGTTTTGGTATATTTTAATAACGCAACTCAAACTTTTAGTCATGTTTATAAACCTACCGCAAACGAGTTTTTTGTTGAAGCTGTTAATCTCGCCGGCGCATTTTTAGAATTTTCCGATGCCGCTTACGTTAGTTATTTTTGTGATTTCATGAAACAAAAATTTTTAAAATATTATTCACATGTTCCGCATATATATGGTATTGCATTTGTTCTTGATCCTCGTTATAGACTTGCCGCGTTGCCAAGTTGTATAGATTACTATTATAATTGTTTTTTTCCAACTCAAGAGTTCGATGATAATCCCATCGACCCTAAACAAGAATACAACGAGGTTAGTAATTTATTTCATCAATTGTATAATGAATTTTATGCACAATATGGTAATGCACCCCCTCCCATGCCGCGAACATCTTCTTCATCTAAAGGAAAATCACTTTTAAAATCTGCATTTGGTTCTCTTATGAAAAAAAGTAGAGCAACTCCTGCTACTGAACAAAGCTCAGTTAACGAGCTTTCTATCTATCTAACATTGAATGTTGATTATGAAGTTGGGGATGATTTTGACGTTCTTAAGTGGTGGAAGGACAATGAAAGAACGTTCCCGGTTTTATCAAAACTGGCTAAGCAAGTGCTAGCAATGCCGATATCAACAGTTGCCGTGGAACAAGAATTTAGTGCGGCCGGCAACGTCCTAACCGATTATAGAACGAGGTTGAGCCCGAGCTCTCTTGAGACGCTAGTTTGCTTCCATGATTGGTTGAAGGCCAAACGAAGAACTCAAGAAATGACCATCGCTCCCACCCGCCACTTTATGGAGGAAACAACCACCGAAGGCGGAGATTCCGATTGATTTTTTATTTCAAAATGTATTACATTTCTTAAATGCATCCTAATTCTCAATTGTACTTGTTTGAAATAAAAATACTTGAATTATTTTATATTATTGTGTACATCAATTCAATAATTCAATTCAATAAAATTAATTTGTAAACTTGTACTTCATATGTAGCACTTCTCAAATTAATTAATTGGTTACAAACTTATAACTTACAACTTGAATTTTTTTTTGTAAAATGTAAAGGCTGTTTTTAAATTAAAATATGTAATATTAATATGTAAATTAATTAATTTGTTACAAACTTACAACTTACAACTTATACACCTATTTTGTAACATTTGTAAATTATAAATCAAATCACTTTTCTAAGTAAAAATAGTTTTACTTAATTAAAAAATTAAAAACATTTTCCTTACACAATATGTATAATTTTCTAAATCATATCACTTTCCTTACACTTTTCTAAATCAAATCACTTTTCTAAGTAAATTATACACAATATGTCAAACATTTTCCTCAATTCTCAAATGTACTTCCTATTTCAACATCATGCACTTGAATTTTGTTTTTAATAACAATTATTATAATAATATAATATATACATAAAAAAAAATTAAAAGGACCGGCCCGAACCGGGCCCGGCCCGTGAACCGGGCGGGCGGCCCGGCCCGAACCGGACCCGGGGTTACCCGGGCCGGTTCCGGGCCTCCCAAACCTTGAACCGAGGCCCGGCCGGTTCACGGCCCGAACCGGGTCCATCCCTAATTTTCATGTGTCCAAATGAAATTTGATTTTTTTACATTTCTATTTTTCAACTATTATATTTATATTTAATTCATTTTTAATGTGTTATTTATACATTGTAACTATTAATTAAATACTTACATAATTTTTAATTATTGCGGTTTATAGACTTATTAAATGCTTCACCAATCAAGACAAATTTTTTTCATCTCTTTGACTCTAAACACTTTTTTATGTGATTTTCCACCATACTCTCTGTACTTAATCATTAATTATTAGTATTTATGAAGTTATTACATGTTTCATAAATTAACAAAATATTTTTTCATTTCTTTGGACTCTAGTTTTTTATTTTGTTTTCCACCATATTCTGATTGCATATGCAAAAATAAAGATTACTTAACGTGTTATGTATGCAACCAAGCATTCCAGCTAGGGGTGGACTCGGGCCGGTTCGGGCCTGGGCCCGGTTCGGGCCTGGGCCCGGCCGGGCCTCGTGCCAGAAAACTAGGGCCCGGGCCCGAACCGCCGGTGGGCGGTTCCGGTTCCGGTTCCGGGCCAAACCGGGCCGGGCCGGGCCAACCGGTCGTTTTTTTTTTTTGGTTCTCCTTTTTAACCCCCTACCCCTCCCCCTCAACCCCAAACCACCTCAAATGGCCCAAAATACCTAATCCAATCCAAAACTTAAAAAAATTTCAAAAAAAAAAAAAATTAAAATCCAGCCCGGACCGGGCCCGAACCGGCCGGGCCGGTTCACCAAAATCAGGGCCCGAGCCCGGACCGCCATCCCACCGGGCCGGGTGGCCCGAACCGGTGCACCAACCGGTTGACCGGGCCGGTCCGGGCCCGCACAGTAGCGGGCCGGTCCGGTTCCGGGCCGGTTGGCCCGGCCCGAGTCCACCCCTAATTCCAGCCCAGCTGGTTGTGAGGTTATTGTGCCTAGTGGGAGGTTTCGAGTTTGAATCCCGCTAGGCAAGGGTTTGAAACTCAATGGAATGGGTTTCAGCCCTGATTACTCCAGACCCCCTCCCCCCAGACCCACTGGAGTAAAAAAAACGTGTTATGTATGAATGGGATGAAAACTTTAGTTTTAGTTGCATAGTAGGAAAATCTTATTGCATAGTGGTAATATTTATACGTAGTATTTAACAAGGAAAATTCCTAAATTAGTGTGATTAATAAAAAATTGATTGAAATTAGATCAATATACTATATAATAGCTTAATAAATAAATTTTTAATTAGAGTATCTCTTGACACACACATATTCATAATTATTATGTCATAGATGAATGAATAAGTGATTATACACACACATATATAAAGACTTCGAAATTTTTATAAACAATATCTAGTATGTTATACTTTAATTGAAAACTTAAACAATATTAATTCGTATAAGGAATATGTATATAAGAATGTTTTTAATTGGACTCTTTAGTCCCAGACCAGATCAGACTAGATAAGATTTGGACAATTATAAAATACACAGAGACCAGACTTTTACCAGACCAAACCACTTTATACCAGACTAGATCAGACCAGAAAATTTCAGTCCAAATAAAAACATCCAATGCGTTATATTATGATTTGATAGTGATTTTCATTCTAATTTATTTAGATATTAAATCAGGAAATTTATAAATTATATTTTGTCTAATAAGTATGTTGATTTACAAATACATGCACTAACTTAGCAGATTCCGTTTGTCTAACGTCAAAATACTAACAGAAGGACCGAATTAATATAGATTAAATAGATTAGGGACTAAAATGGTAGAATTATTACTTCAAGGACCAAAACGATATGATGCTGATAGTTTAGGGACTATTTATGCATTTTACTCTTTGATAAATAAAAAGTTCTCTACTGTTTTGGATTTTTTTAATTTGTAGATTGCTCTCACAAATGTTTAAGGTTTTATTTCAGCTTTTTGGTAAATAAATAAAACGTGTACTCTATCAAAAATATGTTTCATATATTACTTCTTTTTTAGTTGCAAATTATCATTTTCACGCTTAACAATGCAATATTTTTTTTAAAAAAATCTTGCACATTAATGAATAAAATGTATTCAAAGTAGTCACTTTAGTATAAAAACTGAACATAAGTTGCAAGGTCTCTCGATCGGGCCCTGGGCCCAGGAAGCCAATAGACAAGAATGTCATTATTTATCCGCCAAGTATGAAATATGGCCCGTTCGGAACACACCGAACGACATCCTTACCAGCTGATGAATACCTGTTCGGGATTGTTCTGCTCTGCTGGATTCTTTTTGGGTTTATCCTCCCTTCTGGGTAGGGGTGTAAACGAGCCGAGCCGAGCCCGAGCATGGGTATGCTTGAGCTTGAGCTTGATAAGAATTTACAAGCCCGAGCTCGATCTCGAGCTTGGACAAGTTAAATAATTCGAGCTCGATCTCGAGCCGAGCTTTGCTCGAGCTGCATTCGAGCTTGGTTCGAGCTTGGATCAACTTTCGTCCTCCCCACATTCTTTGTCCTCCCTAGCTTCTTCATTGTCAGATAGATGGCATGTGGCCAGTTGATTTTAATCCAGTTATGCGGCAAAAATGGACATATGCAGAACCAGAACTCATCTTTTGATTGTTGCTTTACTAGTCATAACAGAAACATACTCGTATGAATTAATTATTTGCCCGGAAAATTGAATCTCTAGGACATCCAGAAGATGGCTCTGTGGTTCAAAATTTCAAAGACAAGTTCGTTAGAAGCAACTTGGCAGTGTCTTTGAAGTCCGAACACACAGAATACTTGGAGAGGAAATGCTGAGATGAAGCGGGATTTGCACTTGTAGTGTCCTGTGATTGCAAATAAATAAATCCATGACACAAACAATTATTGAATGCCACACAGACAATTATATATAACCACAAACAAATATATGTCCTCCAACGGACAAATTTTGAGTCTCACATCACTAATGATAATGATAATGATAATGATAATGATAATGATAATGATAATGATAATGATAATGATAATGATAATGATAATGATAATGATAATGATAATGATAATGATAATGATAATGATAATGATAATGATAATGATAATGATAATCATAATCATAATCATCATCATAATAATAATAAAAGTAATAATAATAATAATAATAATAATAATAATAATAGTAATAGTAATAGTAATAGTAATAGTAATAGTAATAATAATAATAATAATAATAATAATAATAATAATAATAATAATAATAATAATAATAATAATAATAATAATAATAATAATAATAATAATAATAATAATAATAATAATAATAATAATAATAATAATAATAATAATAATAATAATAATAATAATAATAATAATAATAATAATAATAATAATAATAATAATAATAATAATAATAATAATAATAATAATAAGAACAACAACAACAACAATAATAACACCTATGTAATACGGAGTACGTAGTAAGAAGTTGTGTCACCATGCTATTCTCGCTCAATCACACATTTAATGATCCCACTCATTAAACATTAAGAGTTATATTAATAATTAGTAATTAATATGGAGTGTAATTGCAATGTTCAACTAATAACCATAATACTAATACTAATATATAAATGGTGGAATTTCATTTATAGAAATTGCTCAATATAGGTTCAAAACATACACAAAGTTATAAAAAATAGGATTAAGTATGTTTTATTACTCAAATAAGACTTATTTAGTCCTATTAAAAGAATTACATCAAGAAAAGTTCTCAAAGTAGCAGTGGATGAGTCCTATTTGGAGATTAAAGCACTGATAGTCTTATTTATGAACTTTATTCATGTTTTAGTCTTATTTAGGAAGTTTCTCTTTAAATCAAGGCATATTGGAATATTTGCGATTTTTTAGTTAGAATGTTTTTCAGTTTCAAGATAGATTATACAAATTTAAACAAATTAGAACAGATCAAGTTAGATTTATATGAAACATGTTTGACCAAATCAGACTACACAATCAAAATCTATATACACCAATGTTTATCGTACTGGACAAGATCAATTTATAGTGGATCGAATTAAAACAAATCAGACTACTTAAGGAGCATGTTTTTTACTTTTTATAGTGTGTATATATGGAGCATGTAGGGGGCATGTATCAAAAGCTTTTTTGTAGAGCGAAGGTGCAAGAAGGAAATACGGAGTAAATCTGTTTTGGATTTCTATTTCTGGAAATGGAGCATGAACTACTTAAGGAGTGTTTGGGGTTGATTAAAAAAAGCGCTTTTCACCTTTTGGTTTAAAAAAAGTTGAAAAGAGTGTTTTCAAATGATAGCTTCAGCTTAAATTAATCACTTAAAAACTAAAAGCTGGAAGCAGGTAGAAGGGTTCTTTAAACTGCTTCTCACTTTTTCTATTACACAAAAAGTACTTATTTTACCAAACACTACCAACTTTTACTTTTTCAGAATCACTTTTTTCTCAAACACTACCAACTTTTACTATTAATCATTTTTCCCAAAATCACTTTAAAAAATCACTTTTTTAAAGTTGAAGCAATCGCAAACACTCCCTTAGGCTAAACTCATTAAGGATGTTTTTACTTGGACTGTAATTTACTGGTCTGGTCTGGTCTGATCTCTTTGTATATTTATAACTATCCAAGTCTGGTCTGATTTGGGACGGATTACCGTCCAAGTAAAAACATCCTAAGTTATAACCATGTTTTGGGTGCGGCTAACTACACTTTTGGTATTTATTGGATACCATATATTTAGCCGGGCCAATATTTTGTATCCTCGAGCCGGGGGCTGTCCCATGTAGGGGCGGGAAAAATCAAACCGAAACCCGGAAATCGACCTCGGACCGACCCGAATTATGATCCCGGTCCGGGTTTTTCTTTTTAACCGGCCCGAATTAAAAAAACCGGACCGAACCCGAAATTCCGAGCTCATTAACGGGCCTTAAAATCTATAACCCGGCCCGGACCGATAAAAACCCGAAACAATTAGCTCTGATATAAAATTAATATAATATATGAATATAAATTTATAAATATCTCCTAATATATGATTATAATCACGGTGGATAAAAAAATAATTTAGTAACTTGTAGTGACTACAAATATGTTCAATTTGTTTAGCGTAATGACCATGAAAATATATCTATAGCAACTCTAGTCACATTTTTATATATAAATTGTATTTCGTAAAAATTTTAAGAAACCTATATTATTTATTTATATGCATCTTAAATAAAATATTAAGATAATTATCTTTTTTGGATTTGAATTGTTGGTGATTTTGGTGACTAATATTTACAGGGACAGATCCAGGATTTCAAGTCAAGGGGGGCGAAATTTTTTCGTTAGTGTAGGGGGCAAAAAAAATTTGCTAGTGTAGTGGGGAGAATTTTTTTCCGCTAATGTAGCGGGGCAAATTTTTCCCACTAGTATAGCGAGACGAATTTTTTTCACTATTGTACGGCTCAGCGGCTAATTTTTATTCAAAAAATAGAAAATGATATATAACATTTTGTCGAATTATTTGAAGGTAAAAAATTTTAAAGGTAATTATACATCAATCGATGCCTTTTAAATAACTTATGTCTTGTTTAACCACATGAAACTTATTGAAATAAAGAAATGGTTTTTGAATTGTAGTTTTTTTCTACCAAGGAGGGTGTTTATGGGTCACGAGAAGTTTTTTTAATATTACAATAGTGTGTATGAGATTATTATCTTTAGAATAATATTATATGTAGTATTGTTAATTCATATATATGGTACATATTATATTTGTATCAATGCTAAAATTCGTTAAAGTTTATTATTTATGCAATAAATTGCTCTTAGAAAGTAAGAAGTAAATGAATTGTATAATTTAATATCAACAAACATTTATATTTTGGATTCACTTCACATGATCTAAAACTGTTTAACTGGTGTGTCTGGTATTTACTATTTAATATCGTTTGTTCTTTTACAAATTTAAAACTAATTATCTATAAAGATAATCAAATATTACAAAACCTAGGAATTTTTATATAATGGGTATCCTAAGTCTTAAACTATCTAAATTATTTTAGATTTTACTTCTTCTAAATCTCCAATTAAGTATTACACTATGTAAGACTATATATTAACTTTGAAAACTAAAAGTCAAGGTGGGCGAAAACATATATATAAAATTAAAGTATGAAAATTTTATGAAAATACTATATATACAGTAGAAAATTTTGAAAGTCCAAGGGGGGCGGACCCCCCCCCCCTTAAATCCATCCCTGAATATTTATATTATTATTTGCGGTTTGTATTTTTGATTAATTTTATTTGAAAATAAGTGTTAAAATATAAAAGAACAATGACATATTTCGCGTTCGGGCTTTGACCGGCCCAACCCGGACCCGGACCGAACCCGGGCTACCAAAAACCCGACTCGGACCGAATATAATGGCCTTTGTTCTAGTCCCTAATTTTCATAACCCGATACCTTCCGGGTAATTTCCGGGGTTAGCAAAAACCCGACCCAGACCGGACCGATCCCACCCCTAGTCCCATGTCTTCTTAGTCGGCTGATTTTTAGACACATATGATGTACATATTATTTTTTGATTGCTAACATTCATTTAAATTTTATCTAAAAATAGAGTACACCTAAATTAGATGATATAGAATGACCGGTACATGAATGATGAATTGATGAGTAGGATAATGTGGCCATTATGCTGACATGGTAGATGACAAGGTATAAAATACCTTATTTGAGAAATATGTTGAGAAATATGTTTAAAAGTACTTTTGATTGGAATATAAGATTTAAAATTATCTTTCTAAAATAACTCCATCAATAACCCAAGAAAAATATTGTTGTTATATAAGAGTGAATTCCCAGGAGTAACATATGGTCAATTAACGTGCAAAAATTGGAGCCATTTTTTAAATTCTCTACATACGGAGTATCTAACACTTCATTTTTAGTTTTGTGCCATTTTATTATTTTCCCAAAACTTTCATTCGGTCGATTTTTCTTCTATTTTCTTTTTCTATTGTTCATCACTCGTCAGCTTCCAAGCATGCCGTAGACCAAGTCCATGGCGTATATAAGTATATAAAAAACTCATATTTTTCATCTTTTGCGAACAATTATTTACTCCGTATCTTGTATTGATCTCCTAAAATTTCTATCTACTTCTGGTTGAGACTAATGGGCATGAATAACCAAGGATGGATGGCCATTAATTTAAAAAAATCATATTCATTAACATCATTTTTGTTTCCACGAAATCAAAAGATGAGTCAAACCTATCTTTGGGAGGTTTGGGTCCAAACTGTTTTTTACAAACTGTGCGGATTCAAATCCACCGCCACTTTTTTATGATATGTTTCATTTTTTCCTGGCAATCGAATTCATGGCATTGCATTATTGAAGTTTCTTAATTAGATTTCATCAAAGCTTTGGTAATTATTCTTGAATCTGTATTTTTTTTCCTTGCATTTTGGTTACATATGGATTTTTTTCTTCTCAAAATCGTTGTAAGATTTGAACATATTGGCAGGAAAAGAAAGAGAATTTAAGGAAAGTTAAATTACTCAGGGCAATAAGTAATTCTCATCAATTAAGGCCTGGAGGATGTCCACAAAGATGAAGGGCCTTCTTAAAGGTCTTAGGTACATATCTCAGATATTTGGTAAGCAATTTTTATTATATAAGCTGAATATATAATATAAGTCTAATTTTTCTTTATGAAAAAAAAAAGATCTTGAAGATGGGCTTTTTCGAAATCAAGTTATATTGTAAAAAAAAAGATCTTGAATCAACAATTTTTGGAGCTCTTTCGAAATCAAGTTATATTCTTAATCTTTCTTGTTTTGGAAACCAAAAGCATGGGCTTTTGGGTGAAAGAAAGATATGTTTTGGTTAGTTTAAGAGGATTGAAGATGAGAGTTATGATGGATATATTATTATGGAGCAGATGAAGAGAAAGAAGCAGAAATACAGATTGGTTTGCCTACAGATGTAAAGCATGTTGCTCATATAGGATGGGAAGGTGGTCAATCTGTTGATAATCCAAGCTGGGTAAATATTTTTTTTTAAATTAATTAATTACTCATTAATTACATTTACTTATTAACCTAGAGTAAAAAGGTTTGATGATCATATATGATTACAGATGAAAGAATTCAAAGGAGCGGCAGGGGCTCAATCAGCTCCTTTAGGTCCCTCTGCCGTCTCAAGAGAAAGCCCTGAGATTAAATGGGTGTCTCAAGGTATGCATTTTTTCTTTGTTAATTTGCACTATTTGTACCCCAGTTTTGAAGCCTGGGATTCAGTGGTCATTTCTAGCTTTATTTTTGCCTCACCAAATTTATCTGTCATATTCTCTACAAAAAATATGGACTCCACCAATTGAGGGCCTGTTTGGTAACGACTACCACGGCTGAATAGGCTGAAAAGACTTAAAAGGCTGAATGTGCTGAAGTGAAAGTGTTTGGTAATATGATGGCTGAAATGGCTGATTGAGTGTAAAATTACTATAAAGGGTATTGGCTTGTTTATATTAAATATATGGGTGTGAATTTTAATTTGCTGGATTATAATTAGGTGAGTATAATTAAAACTGCTTGATTAATTATCACTTTGGATTTTTTTACACATGTTTTCTTGAATATGCGACATTAGTATTAATAAAAAGCTCACATACACTTAAATTACAATAAAACCAAACAAAAAATATAGACAAGTATTTATTGGAGTTAACAAAATTTTACTTCAGAGTCCAAAACAACCGGCTTTTGATTCGGAGCTTTGTTCTCAATTATAGGCAACTGAAAACAGCGTATTTCAAAATTTAGAAGGGTGAAAGGAGTCTTTTTAATCTCTAACAGTGCAATAATAAAAAACAACTGAAAAAGTAACCTTTGTGTAGATTTTTCAGCTGATCATAAAAATCAGCCCAAGTAGCTAATTCAGCAAGTGTTTGGGGATTTTTTTTATACTTTCAGGTAGGGGTGGGCACGGTCCGGTCCAATATTTGGCCGAACCCGTACCCGTACCATTACTATTGAAACGGTTCGGTACGGTTCGGTCTTAGACCCAAACCCGTTCGGTACGGTTCATTTTCAAACGGGACGGTACCATGCCATACCAATACCAAACAATGCCACTTTTTCCAGGTGTTTAAGAAAAAATTAAAGTTTAGCCATCCTCCAAAAAATCCACACAATTTATCAATTTTCATATATCATACTACCTTCGTTCCAAATTGATTTGCAAAGTCAATCTTTTTTGGTCAAACAATTTCTTTTATCCACTTAATTAGAATTTTACTTTTTAATTATATTCTAATTTGGCCTTTCAAAAAAACTATTCCGTACTTCGTATATTTTAAATTGGATTTTGCAACTTTAGAGAGATTTTAATGTGGTTTCTAAATATGTAAATTTTAATTATGTAAAAATTGTATTAATTATCAAGAACTTAACATTAACTTTGACAAAACAATGTTGGTTTTGCAAATCAATTTGGGACGGATGAGGTAATTAATATATTTTAGATAAACTATAGTAGTACAAATTTAATAGACCATACTTCGGTCCGGTTCGGTCCGGTACCGGTTCTCATTTTATGAGAACCGGTCATGGCATTGTTTGGAACCGGTTCGGTCCGGTTCGAGACAAAAAATTTTGAGATCCGTTTCAAACCCCGTTTATCGGTCCGGTACCATACCGGTTCGGTTCGGTATCATGCCGGTTCGGTATTTTTGCCCACCCCTACTTTCAGGCTTGTAAGCCCACTTTGAGAGCTCCCAACGGCCTCTGAATTGTTTACTGATTAGAGAATTTCAAACATAAGAGCATCTCCAATGCTAAAACGTTAACGGTGCATACGTGGCATCAGAAATAACCAATTAAAAAATAATAAATACAATATCTCTCTCCTTATTTAAAGGATTTTACATCATTTTGGTAAGTTTATCTTCACAATGTCAAGCACAATGTCTAGATGTAGACATTGTGATTGACATTGCAGACAAAAACTTACCATAAACACATAAGACCGTGGAAAGAAGGAGAGAGATATTGTATTTATTGTTTTTTAATTGGTTATTTCCCATGTCACGTATGCACCGTTAACGCTTTAGCATTGGAGATGCTCTAAGTGACCTTTTTAATGCTAAAGTAGCTAGAACCCTTAAAATGACAATTTCAACCCCTTGCCCCCATTTATTTTGTTTATCAATGTATTTATATATTTTTTCATATTGAGCAATTCAGTCGCAATTTTAATAATATAAGCTGATTAAGCTAGTCCTCTCTATAGTAGCTGAATCCTATTTCTAAACTTATATTCTTTAACACCTCTTATAACTAGTACTCAGTGTCACAATTGTTTAATGTTTATTTTTTTGTGCACATACTTATTTAGATATTGTAAAATAACAACAAAAGACACCAAATGTTTTCCCATCATATCAAACTTTTCAATAAAACAACAACTTATGTAGTTTGTAATATGAAATACTCCATTTCTTATTATCAACTTATTATCAACTTAAGATAATAATTGACCAAACGCAGTAAAAAAAGTCCTTTTCATAGACTTGTAAATTGTAATGCCAGTTGAATGGATACCAAGAAGATCCTAATGCTAATTGAGTGTTGCTGAAATTAGAGTGAAATGAATGAATGAATAAATAGAAATGTCTAAAATCTATTTGTTGTTTTTATAAAAGATGTACTTTTAAATAATATTAATTTAAATCAATAATTCTAAAAATGTATTGCAGATTCAAACCGAAGAAATTCCAGAGGTGAAGTCAATCTAGACCGGGATCCCGACTTGCCAAAGGCATCAAGGCGCCAAGCAGCAGCTTCTTCCTCCGAAAATCCGGATTCCCCCAACAAATCCAAGGTCAAGCACTCCCGGCGAAACCGCTCCAAGGAAGCCGCGTCCGACGCCGCAAAGTCCGATTGCCCAGCTGCCGGAGATCTCCCGAAGAAGTCACGCCGAAAGAAGTCCAAGGACGGCATCGGCGATGGCGGCTCCACCAGATCGTCGAGATCGTCCAGGCGCAGCGCTGCTCAGGAACCAGGCCAGCATGCGGATGCCGAAGCATCGGTAAGGTCAGTGTACAGTGACATCGCCGGCGACGGTTCCACCAGATCTTCGAAACGCGGTGAAGTTGAATGAGCAAAGTGGGTTACCGTTGTCATTTCTGTTAAGCAATGGCAGGATTGGAAATTGAAATTACGTTTTAATTAATTAACTAGTGAGGTTTTAATTTCTGGGAATTCGAAATCTGGATTCCCGCCCACATATTTGTTCATATTTTTAAAATTTTAGTTTCTAGTTAATTGACTTCTATAATTAACAAACACTGGGACACCAGATTTTCTCCAAGACTCATTCATAGAATCTTGCACCAATGTACCATGTCAATCGGTCTCCATTCGTTTCATTTTGTATAATTCTACAAAAAAAAAAAAAACTATTAAATAGACGATGAGTTTTTTTTTTTTCATTTTGTATAATTCTACATTTCTACTCTTGTGAGATCTTTTTCTTTTATACGATGAGTTATTTAAAAGAAGCGAAAACTATTAAATAGACCCTCAAACTTACATAAAAAGTGCAAATCACTCCTTATATAGAGATTCTGTCTGGCCGTCGTCATTTGTGGCGATTTCCGGTGGAATTTTTTGATAAATTTTTTGAGTTTAGTCATTAAGTCTAGTTTACTCATATCAAATTTCAGCTAAAAATTCAACCAGGAAGGCAGTCAAATGATTTTCTGAAATATATTGCGTTGTTAAACTGCGCAGTTATCTTCAAAAATTCATTTGACTGTCTTCCAGATTGAATTTTTAGCTGAAATTTGGTATGAGTAAGCTAGACTTAATTAAGAAGATGCTCAAAAAATTGCATCAAAAAATTCCACCAAGAACCACCCCAAATGGCGACGACCAGGGAGAACCTCCTATATAAGGGGTGATTTGCACGTTTTATGCAAGTTTGAGAGCTTATCTGGTAGTTCTCCCTTAAAAGAATGAAACTCAAGTCCATTTTTTGAATTATCGACTATTGTTAAGAGCAACGTCATCCCAATTGTTGCAGATCGTGTGCTAATTACTATAATTAGGCCGTGTGCAATAAAATACTACCTATTGTATAACTTTAAATAGGAAATATATTTTAATTATAAATAAATACTACGTACTTAGTAGTACGTATTACTTTTACTGTTTGTATTTTAAAGCAATATACTAATATAGTAGATTTTAATCAAATAAAAGAGCATTTTGTACACTCCATATTATAGACTATTTTTAAAATTTTGGGCCTTCAAAATCGGGAGGCCCCGTACTGGAGCACACTTCTCGCATGCCTTAATTGAGGGCCCGATCAAGAGTGACATAAAAATTGTTGAAACTGAAATGTTAAAGGGAAATTCTATTCACACACCAACAATTACTACACACAGCCACAAAATTAAATTAAATATCTATTTTACCCTTCCACCTAAATAAACCCCTCTCTCGATATGCTTGTGAGCCTCCACTCGTTTCGATCGGAAGCGGACTGGTTTGAAAATTGAGGCACTTGCCCGTGGTTCTCCAACGAGAACAAAGGCCAAGAGGAATGGATGATCATTAGGAAAGGGGGAAGATATGGCACCTATTGGGAGATCTGGTGGCTCTACTGGAGCGGCGGCAGGTGAGAGGATGAGAGATTGCAACCAATCTCAAGTCTGTCAAGAGAGAGCATAGACAATCAACCAGCCGAAGACCTCTCTGTTCAGCAATTGAGGGACTCTTGCGATGGCAAGTTCATGTCCGACCGGTGTCTACATGGAAACGCCGAGAACTTAACTGAACGAGTGAACAGTGTTTGGTTTTGGGCATCGCAGGCACATCATCACTGTCAAAGTGTCAAGCCATCGGAGTACTACTCTTGAGGATTGCATTAATCTGCTAAAATTCAGTTTGAATTGGAAATTCAAACAATAAGATGAAGAGACGTAGAAGAATCTATCATTTGGTGTTGGGTGAAGAATATTTTGGAGCTTTTGAAAAATGTTCGGTCTGAAGAAGAGGTGGACATGAAGTAGCAGCGGTTTGATATGATGAACCTGTATGAAATTGTTGAGATGAGTACCAAGACGGAGAATAAATTGCTGCTCTATCGATTGTTGCAAGTTTCAACCCGATACACACTCACGTTAAAAAGGGCAAACTGGAAATTATAAAAATGTGTGTATTTAGTAAAAAACATGTGTGTACATAGAATTACCCAATGTTAAATCAAAAGTAGGCCCATTTGTAGTAAACGGGAGCGTAAACTTGACATAATTTTGCAGTAAATTAAAGTGATGAATTGGAAAATTACAATTAGTAACATTTCAAATAAGATGATTAATTTTAGATCCAGTCAAGCTCATCACTTCTTACAAACAAGGCTACATGTCATGAAAGCTCTCAAAGATAACCTGGGTGTCAAATTTTGAAAGCCCTCAAAGAATCGGATCAAATTTGATGATGCAAAATCATTTATTCCTCTAACACTGGTCAGCCCACACCAGAAAACCGCCATGAGTAGCAGGCTTTTATCTACAAAATTTCTCTTTCATGTACAAGGGACGGGAGCATCATCTATCATGAGAATAAAATAGAAGTGCAAACAGGTTGCTTGCAATGTGTGTTGGTATCATTATTTTTTATACATATCGCAGCAAGAGATCTGCTGAAGTGTTCCTCAATCTACAACTTTGTCCCAGGTGAACATCCCCAAAATTATATCTGAATTATATAATAATAATTGAAATTAGACGGTGAATGTGATGGCATGCAACAACACCATTGTCATTGTTTGTAAATATATACTCCGTATATATATAAGACTTGGTGCATATCTTTTGAGGAACAACTATGAAGTATTATAATTTGTATTATTAATGTATTACCTGTATTCACAATGCTCTCCCCATGCACATCGAGCCTTTCCATAATCCCAGTAGCAGTCATCATCTCTCAGGGGGCCTCGCTTTTCTGTTTTGGAGCATCAAAATTAAAATAGTAGTATTTGCAGTACCCTTAAAGGTAAAGTTAGTGAGTGGATGATTATTCATCATTCTAACTCTAAGAAACTAATGATTTAACTTATGTGCTAATCATAAGTGATTGTAGAATTGCGAAGAAACAGCTTCTGAAACTTAGGGCTCGATTGGTTGGAGGATTTTGGGAGGGAGGGAAGGATAGTTGAGGATTAATGTTTGTTTGGTTGGAAGAAATAGGGGGGAGGGGAAGGAATTTGGAAGACTTAAAAAAATACATTATCCCCCATTTTGAATCCCCCAAATCGGGGTATTTCAGGAGATATCAAAGACACGTCCTGATTTTTAAACATGAATGGATAAAAATGGCCCTGTATATCAGTATATGTAACTTAAAAAGACGCCCAAATTTCTTCGACCTTCATTAACTTCATTGAGGAGTAGTCACAATCCTCTCTCAAAAATGGGTCAAACTAAGTCGCTCGGTTTTTTATTTTGATTTTGAAATATTAGTTATTTTTGAAAAAAATAAGCTTTGAAAAGACTTGCTTTTTTAATGGATTAATTTTGTAGTATATCACGCTTTTAAATAGTCTTTGATTTTGCAGGCAGTTTTTCAGTTTTTTACTCTTATCTTTAAATTTTTTTAGTTATTTTTATGTTTATGTAAAGGCTATTTAGTGTTTAAATACAATATTATAGAAATATATTTTTTAAAGTGATTGGTTATTTATATAACCACTGATTAATAATTATATAATTGAATTGAAATTATTTCATAATTTATATATTATTGCTTCTTCTACATATATAATTGATTGATTGAAATAATTCAACATTTGGTTTATGTCGATTTGTTTTAATCTCTATGTTTAAATCCAAGTAATATTAGGTTTTCTATAATGGTTTAATATTTATATCAAGAAGTTTTTCATAAATAATTTCAATTAAAAATAAATAATTAGCCATAGGATTGCCAAGAATTTCACTTATTTTTCATATATTATAATTTATGAACTTAGTAATATTTAGATTCATTACATTTAACTTTACAAATAAATATGGGTAATTTGAAAAAATAATTATTAAATTTCTCTCCTTTTTACCACAACCAAACACAATAACTTGTCAAAATCCTTCCTTCCCCTTCCCTTCCCTAGCCTTCTTGACCCTCCCCTTCCCTCTCCTCCATTAAACCAAACAGGGGCTTAGTCTATAAAAACTGAAACTTTAATAACATACGTGGGCATATAACATTCCAATGGCCTTTTATTTATTTTTAGAAAGCCTTCCACATCTTTTCCCTCCAGAACCCAACTCACAAACAGACCCTAGGAGGTTGACAAGACAAGAGACCAACCTTTTGTGACAAACTCTGTTTTCTTATCAGGGTGAATATCATGCCACATCTCAAGCCATAACTCTCGCATCAAAACCGGGGATCTGACAATATTTCTGTGATTCGCTGCACATAAGGAGTTAGAGAGTAATGTAACCAGAGGAACTACATTGACCTGTGCTGTGCATCAGAGGTTTAGATTTATACAAGGCTTTTATGAAATGCCATTTGTATCTTGTTAAATGAATGCGCCCTCAACTCTTTATTATACAGTATAGACATAAATTTTCTATGATGCATTCATTGTTTGGCCATATAAATATGGTGCCATATATATTATTCATTTGCGAGGCATAATGGTAAAAGAATATCAGTCTTTATAAATAATCCATTAAATTAACTACTATTCTGTATAATTTAGTCTAATTGACTGTAAACTTATAACAGGGACCAGCTAAAAAGAGCTGGCCTATTTTTAAAATCATTGCAAAGTAACTAAATCACTACTACCTTTATCAATCTCCCAGACTGCTGTCCTCCTCCCAGGAAGACTTTCAGAATCTTCGTAATAGGTTATGTACTTCACCCTAGGTGACCTAGTCATGTTGGGAATGATATCTTCACCGTGTTGGTGGTCTATGCTCAAATGGATTTGTACATCCGAACCATCATGCTCTGACTAAATTATTAGAGAGACATGGAGACAATAGAAAAGAAAAGAGTTGAGCTGCAAAAATATGCTGGGCTAAAATCATTAATTAATAAAAAATCAAGACAGGCTGCAGAACAATCCCTGATGTAAAGTCACTATGCGGAGCATTTTAGTTTCAAATTCACATTTGTGATACACATGATTCACTAGTTAACTTTTTCATATGCATTGGGTTCACAAAAATGTTGATTTTACTATTTTAGATTCAAACATGCAACTTTAATATGCATATCAAGTAAGTAGTACTGACAAGCTACATCTCAATTACAAACACTTAAATTATATGTCTATCTAATATCAATTGTGTGGTTGTGGTAATTAAGTGATCAATGATCATAAATAATATTTGCATCTTATGCATAGTAG